GCTTTGCTTGATTATTTCACTACTTATTTGGTAAAGACAATGCATGAAATCAATTTTCTGTTGATGATCTTAGCTTCCTGGACAATCATAAAATAAAAAGCAATATCAAAAGGAAATTATCCATGGCTTTTATTCTTATGGGCTATAACTAACTTGTGATCTATAACTATAACTAATACAATAATTCAGTTGTTTGATTACAAAAAAATAAAAATTCCCAAACTATAAGATATACTTAGCACTTAATATGGAACCAAGGAATTAGATCTAGTGGAGACCTTATTAGGTCTATACCTACCATTATGGACTATTTGTGGCCCCTCCAAAAGTTACACATTGAAATCCTAACCCTCAATGTAATGGTATTAGGAGGTAGGGCTTTTGAGAAGTAGTTAGGTCATGAAGGCAGAGGTCTCATAAATGGGATAGTACCTTTATAAGCAGAAACACTAGAGAAATGATTTCTCTCTCAGCCATGTGAAGCTACAAGAAGATGGCCATCTGTAGACCAGGAAGAGTTCCTTACCAAATACCCGATCTGCCAGCTCCTTGATCTTAGACTTCTCAGCATCAAGAATTGTGAGAAATATTTGTTGTTTAAGCCACCCAGGCTAACGGCTTTCTTTTAAGTTTCTCAGTGAAGGATGAGCAGATTGACTAAAATCTAACCACAGTTATACAGAATGAGAGAGATATGGCCACTCGAAAAAGGAAATCAGGGTGCTGTTACCAAAGAAGGTAGTACAAGGTAAAGCATAGAAATGGGTACAAAAGATAAAGCACAAATAAGCCATCAAACAAAAATCAAATGCCCATTTCAATATCTATGGAGTATGAATGGAAAAAAAAAACTGAGGTAAAGAGAAATAAAAATAGATAAGGTCAATAGAATATTAGAGTAGCCTGATTTGCAGGATGACTAAATGACATCCGAATGAGCCAGACTTTGGCTTGTTGATCATCTCCACCTGCCTCTTCGTACACTTCCCATACCATCTCAATCAGTGAGCTATTTTACCTAGTTTACATTAAGTTTATAAGGTGCGTGTTGATTCCAGAAGAAAGTCTGAGCCAATGTTCATGCCCTTGAATTATGGATAGGACTACTTTTGTCAGTTACTAGCAATCAGACCCTTGGCACAAACATAACGCAGCCTGGTATTTTTCTCCCTCAATCTTAGGAAGAGTTTCTGGCTTTGTCCACAAGGCTAAAACTAACAATTTTTCTTAAGGAAAATTCCAAGGTGATTATGTCTATCTGAGCCAAGCAGCATCTTCTTTCTTTGCTTCCTCAATCTGGGCATTCAAATAGTGACAGCCCAAAGCAGTTCTACTGGAGACATTTCTGAAAATTATGAAAACCATAGAGATGCACATCATTTTCAAGTGGTAACATTTAGAATTTTCTTCTCAAATAATTCATGGGAGTTCCTTTCTGATGCTTTCCACACTCGCCTCCCCATCTTTGCTGTGAACCCAATGCTGAATAATTTGCGTGAGTTTTGCTTTCCTCATTTGCAATATGAAGTGTTTGAATTGAATTCTCTCTTAAGGGTTTTCGTTGTTATATTTTGATGTCAGGTTGAAAAGTTTGTTTAGGTTCCTGTTAAGAAAGTACTTGACTGCTTTGTACTAAGAATTTTGGTCTTCACACTGTAGGTGTTCTTTAGAAGCAGAATCTTTGGATTCAAATCCTTCCCATATCTCATATTAGCAAATGTGTGCTTTGAGAAGGTATTATATCTTTTAATGTTTGGTTTTATTTTGTAAAATGGAGAAAATAAAATTTTTTTCAGTTAAATGAAATTTCTCAATAACTATTTTAATTATTTCTCAATAATTAAAATATCATAGTAAGTAAAAGCCACTGAATTTTTTTGAAAATAAGAGTACAATGACTAAGGGACAGTGAACTTGACAGTACTATGCTTGACATAAGTATTAATGTGGGTGTCTTTTAAGCTACCAGATATAGATATAAGTAAAAAATGACAAAATAGAAACTCTATAGACAAGCAATAACAATAAAACCAAAAATTATAACTATGTCAAATAAGGTAGTAGATTATTTATTTACTGTAATAATATGTAACACTTATTGAACGCTGTTTAGTTTTTATATTTTAGCCATTGCACACTATCTGTTGCTTAATTTTTCTCTAAATGAAATTTATAATTAAGGAAAAACATTCCTTTAAATGTGTGTATACATATTATATATACATGTAAAACATTTCCATACACATATATAAATTAGAATCATGTACGGTTGCAAATGACAGAATATCATAATAGTTTTAAAAAATAAGTATGCATTTTTTCTCATTTAACAAGAAATCTTAAGGTAAGTAATTGCTGATATTATATTAGCTGCTCAGTGAAATCATCAGGGACTCAAGCTGTTTTTGACTTCGATATTCTGAGCATGTTATATTTTTCCCTTGTGTGAGTCATTTCACAGACTGTGGCTGCTATATCTCAGATATGAAGTCTAGTTCAATGAATAAAGAAATCTCCTCCTTCTTTGTTAGGTCTCAATGGCCAGAACATAGCTACTGGAAGTTGTAAGGGCAGCTGGGAAACTGGAGAACTTGATTGTATGACTGTTTCAGATCACTCTGATCCATGTCCTAGGGCTGAGTGTGTTTGGACTTGAAACTAAATAAAGGTTTTCATTAAAAAAGAATAGAGAAAAGAAAATTGGGTATACAACTAGCAGAATTTGCCATAAGGATAGTGAGTAAATAAAATTGCCTTACTTGAAAGATGCTTTAAGAAATCGTGAAGGTTGATAAAGTATTTCTGAAATATCAGGCAGGAAAAGTCCTTCCAAAACAAATATAACCATTTGTGACAATTCATTTTCGTATAAATTTTATATTAGCTTTTAGAAACTTCCACAAGTCCTTCCATGGAAAAAAAGGGATACTGATATAGTAATATCAATAGATTAAGAGATCAAACGGTATGTTAAAGTCATTGAATAAATAGACAGCCTTTTTGTTTTCTTATGTAGGTAAACTTTTGAGAGACTAATGTATATTTGTAGTAGTAGAAATGGTTTAAACTGATAACATATTTCTAGGAACAAGAAACATCTTTGACTACACATGTGAGCTTATCTATGTTATATTAGGTGAGTGATTCTAGCTTACTTTAGTGGACAAACTGTCTGTTGTTCTATAGTTAGCATATTCTCAGACTACCAGAAAGCATCTCATAACTTAGCATCTCCCACATATTAGAAAGAAAAAAAGGGAAGAAAGATGGAATGCAGTTGTCGAAAGATCTGTAGACTTAGAACTCATAGAAAAGACTACTGAGAACAGACATTATGCTTGCTTTATAGCTGTATAATGAGTTAGCAAGGATAGGCATGTTCTGCTGACTGGAAAAGTCCAAGGGAGAAAAACAGAATTTCAGGATTTCTAATTACTAACTACTTTAGTGTGATGTCAGCAAGTCCAACACATGGAAATTTGGTGGTATAAATAATAGGTAATTGTTGATCTGTGTGATGGTACTTTCAAATGACTTTCTTTGCTCTGCTTCTTTGAGAAAATGGTTTTGAATTTGGAAAAAAATATGTTCAAGCATTCTGGATGTAATGTTTATGTGCACCCACTGAGCAATGTTTTCCTTTGATGTTGTTTTCCACTGTTAAATTATGTTGGATGGAAAAATAGATTGAGGCTATTTGCTTAAATGTATGAAAAATATTGTTTGGAGTGTAAGAATTTTGATGGTCAATTCAGTTAAAAATATTATTTCTTATGGAATCCTATGAGGCTGTGCCAGCAGAAGAGAAGGCAACCGAAACAATGGATTTGGAAACTTCAGAAATGTTGCAATATGTTAACTTTGCAAATACATTAACTATAGTTTGAACAAAAGGTGTTTGTGTCGCATATGTGCACATCCATTTAATGCTATTTTGTGGGGTCATGGTGGTGCAAATAGATTAATGAATTGCAATTTTGGAATTCAAAAAATTTGAGGAGAATATGATTTTTGTGACTTTTACATAAAGGTTTCTTATTTCTTCTATCAATTCTTTGTCTTGGCTCAGCTACCTGAATGTGTTTGAAAACGTAAGGGTTTTAGGAATTCTTACTTATATTTTTATAAGTATTTTGATATATAATTTATTCTTTCAAGTATAAGAATAAGAAAAGCCTTAGATAAATCTTCATATTTTAATATAATTATCTTTAAATATGAAATTAATCTTTGATAAATTCACAGTATTGGTGTTCTTACCGATAGCCTAGCTTATTTTTCATTAGATTATAATTGTAAATAGACTCAAAATTATTTCTATAATACTAATAATAATTATAATAATAAAATGAAAATAACTAAATTATTTAAAATCTACTTAGTTAAAAACATCTCCACTTATTTTATAAAACAGAAGTTACTTTGATCTTATAAAGGATGTAAAGCATTAATATTTTTGTAGCATTTTTTCTTTTGACTTTTCATATCACCGTACTTATCTAAATCCACAGTAACATTAAATAACAAAAATCTTTTCAAACCCTTAAGACCTACTAAGTGAAACAAGCCAGTCATACAAGAACAAATATTATATGATTCCACTTATGTGAGATAACTGGGGTAGTCAAATTTATAGAGACAGAAAGTAGAATGCCAGAGGCTGGGGGACAGGAAGAATGCAAAGTGGGGAAAATAAAACAAACTTTTTATACAGTCAATGAGAGATATTTCAATATTAGCTCAGGAGTAATATATATCTTTTGCCTTCATTCTAAATGAAAATAAATTAAAGAATGCATGTAAAATTCTGAATACAGACCTGGTGGACAATTATTATCTCAGTGAATGTTTTCTTTTATTATTACGCAGTAAATGTTTCAGAAGGTCAAAAGAACAATGTGAAATAATGCATCTTTCAAATGGATTCAAATATGACAATCAAATTACATACTTAAAAAATATTTTCTAGCATTCTTTATTAAGAAACTCTATTATTCTAGGAGGAATTGTTGATAAGGATCTTCGTCACTACCTCAACTTACGATTTCAGAAGGGTTCTGTGGACCACGAACTTCAGCAAATCATTCGTGACAACCTCTACCTCCGCACTGTGCCATGTGAGTACAACAGGCAATGATATTTTCTTTCTATGTTAACAGATAAATGTTCAGCAATATATCCAGTGTTTAAAAGAAAAGTTAGATCACACTGATTTTTTTATGATGGGCTTTTGGAACAGAAAACTGATATGAGATATGGAAGTTTTAAATGTAAAAGCCAATAATTGCAGTTGTGTGGTTTACAATGAACTTGTAGCCAGAAGAGATTTGTGATTTTTAAGCTATAAAACCTAGCTTATTTCTCCCATTAGTTTTGAGAAATATGAATTCTAGTCCAGGATGTTGATGATTCAGAAAGAATCATGATTGGTATAGAACTCCACACTGAGAAATAGGAAAATGCAAATTTAATTTGTGAATAAAATCTACACAGTTAACTCCCAGCTTCATCTCTGGTTTGAAGCAGGAGAGTCTCACAAGTGAAAAGAAAATTATGAATTGCAAAGTGAAGCTTAATGTTCTGTAACTCTTAGAAAGTGATGGTGTTGTGTATTGGTATAAATTTGTTATAGGCAATCTATAGAAATCCATGAACAATCCTTGATTATGAACAGGTGCTACTTCATAAGAGAGAGGAATTCATAAAATGATAAAATTCGCAAATCAACTTAGATGATTCTCATTTGAGAATCTTCTAAAACTTTATGACAGTTCAAGGACTTTTCAAGTCAGGTCCTAGATCTTTGATAGATATCAAAATCTATTTCTTTCAAGGTAGATTCAGTGACCTCCAGAGACTTCCCAATCTCTCCAGAAACTCTGATCCATGGGTGTTGTGTGTATTCCTTCATCTTAGGTCTTCTCTAAACTTTAACAAATGCAAAGCTTTGGGCTCTAGAAAGTTGATATTAAAGAAAGAAAATTTTGGCTAGGATAAATGAAACAAATAAACAAATATATACTTTTTATTTCTGGGATCGAACTACTGTGTAAAAGGTAGAGATCATGGATGATTATACTGAAATACTTAAAACACACAGAGGAGCGAAATGAATAATTCAGCACCCAATCCTTTTTCACCTACACACACCTTAGGAGGGGTGGACTCTTGCCATCATTAGCACTGAACGTTAATTAAAGCAGAAATGCCAGAGCACCATTATCAAATATTCCTAAATGAGAATGTTTACTGATTGACGTCTTGTCAGTTCAAATGCTGACTTTGTCAGTGTGTGTTAAGTGAATAGACTTTTGGAGTCTTGCTTTAAAACTAGAAGTTGTGTAAAGTGCATTCTTAAGCTTGTAAGTTTGACATTAAAGTGATGGGCAAAGGAAGATGGATTAAAATGACTGAACTATTTACAAGGTAACGGGTGGACTCATTTTCAAAGCTGTGATGTTGTCAGTGCCGCTGTGTAAATTTATCTTTTGTGACATAAAAGAAAGGAGATCTGAAATACCAAATAAAGAATCCAGGCACTTTATTATGTTTAAAAGCTGAAGGAAATAGATAAGAGACTGACATTCAGGAATACTGTAGTCCTCACTAAGGTGATGACATATATAAGAAGTTTTAATTAAATATGAAGATAATAGGAGTAAATTTTATGTTAATTAACTTCTTTAATAAGTTATTTCTCTTTAGAGTACCAAAGAAATACTATAAAGGAAAAATAAATATAAGAAAAAAATAACTAGGCTTATATAAGTAAACAAAAAGAGTTTCGTGATGTGATTTCAGTACAAGGTCATAAATTCAATTAGAAATCCTTGAGTAGCTCCTATAAAGATGATTAGAAACTCAATGAATCTGAATATTATAATCAAACAATTATTTTTAATGTGTAGCCACCAACCCTAATAAATAATTCTAGTAATTTCATTCACTAACAATGTTCTCAATTTGACATAAAAGTGAAAAAACATCTAAGAGATGATTCTGATTTATATTATCTATAATCACTTTTATATTGATGAATCGGGCCTGGGCAATCCACTATCTTCACTAAGTATACATTTTAATGAGATGTTCAGACATTTTAAGAGGGTGTGCAGAACAAAAATGTGAAATAATTTGCCACTGTTAACTGCGTAAAATCGTACCATTGTTTAGAAACTTACAGGCATATTCAGCATATCTTTTGGCCTTGAGTATACAATTATATTTTTTACATATTCTCTTTTGTCAAAAAATTCTCATTGGTGGTTTTCATGTGCCCAGCACCATAAAAGGAAAATGTGTTACTACTGAAGAAGGTATCACTTCTCTGATACAAGCATATGTTAATATGCATACTTCTTGTTTATCTATTAATGACACCAAGAATAGGTCCTAGATAATTCCATTGAAACAAAATTGTAGTAAACTTATAACTCTGTGAGGTTGGTTTAACCTTTTTTACAAGGCAAAACCCAGCTGAGTAATTCTGCTCATTACCACCACCAACTACAACTAGGAAGAAAGGAGCAAAGTCTTGGAGCTGGATTTCTCTGGTGCCTCGTGAATAAGAAAGAGCTCTGTGGTGAGGGCCCCAGAGATCCCCTCCCCTCACACACAGACACTCAGCCCAGTCCAGTAGTGGACAACTTGGCTCCTATACCCCTTTCTGAAGGAGGTCTGGGCCTGGCTGCTGGCTGATTTATGAGCATACCATGGTAGGGTTGTGACCAGTCCAGGTTTCTACTGGGCCTTAACTACAGATAATACAAAATCCCATCAATTTGTTCCCTGCCCATAAACAAGCATGAATTGTATTTAGCCTTTTCATTTCCTTTCCCTGGAACCTATGTCAGAACCCAGTTTCTCAAAAGTATTTTTTTAAAGTTGTGTCTCTAGGCACAGAAGGCAGAACTTGGTAACAGAGATGGGATCATTGGGCATGTGGTGAGCATGAGAGTGTATAACACATACACACACAGACACGCACACATACAGAGGTCTCACAACATCAGTTCATCATTTCTTCAAACTGAGTCATGTTTGGGGAAATGATCCTTAGGAACTGACCCTTGATATTTTCTGTAGAAGATTAGCCAGTCACATGATTTACATCTATGAAAGACCTAAATTTGTTCCTAAATATTTGCCTTTTAGTTGTTAACTACATAATTTATGGCAGTTACATAGGTCTTAAGAGGATTCTGGTGTTCTAAAATGAAAGTTAATTTTTACAAAAAGTGAATACTGTAAATGAATCTTTCTACTATTAGATTTCAGGCTACGTAGGATTTTTTTGTAATGGACTTCAGGGGAAGTGAGTAAATAACGATGAGATGAAACTGTTACAATCTCGAATATGATAAAGACTAATCAGGAAAGGTATATATAGATAACGTACTCAAAAGAGTTTACAACATCCATCAAGTGGGATTTAAATTACCTTGATAGCTCACAAAAGACATTTCCAAAGCACTAAGTGAGCAGCACCTGGTTAGAGTTTTCACCAGATTGTTTCATCATAGCTTGTTAAGTGTACAAAGTTAAGGACATGTGAGTTGTCCTTAGTGTAATATATGAGAGAAATTATCGGAATTAATACAGAAGACTACTGGACTGATGTTCAAATGTTTAAAGAGTAAAAATGTAGTTTATTTTAGTTTTAATATTCTACTAATCATAATGATTGCGTATAGTTAACTCGCGAGTCTAATCGACCATGATTAAATTGACTATGCTTCTTAAATATGAGAAAAATAATCACTCATTTATAGATGAATTTTGGTCCTTTCTGTTCTTAATATTTCTTATTATACCAGATAACATGAAGAATGACTTCAATGACCAACTTTAAAAGTTTCATAGTGAAATGGAAGATAGTTATTAAACTTCTCTCCCAAAACCATACTTTGACATTTGGTGATATGATTTTATTGGAAAATATTTTAAATTTATTTGAAATCAAAAGAAATATCAGTGTATATTAAGTAAAAGAAAAAAATCAATAAAACTAAAGTTCTAAAACTATTCCACATAAAGCAAATAAAATGAAAAACATAGATTTAAGATATGAAAGAAATTACTTTTATGGAAGAGCTGATTGAGTTGTAACTCACAATGCTATTTCTATGTATCTAAGCACTTTAAGTTAGTATAACTGCACCATGTTAAAAAGAAAAAAAAGAAGCATTGTCCAAAATAAAATTGTAAGTTTTCTAATATATTCTTTTAATTTCTGTCATGCTAAATTATTTTTCATGGAGAAGCAAGTAGAAGCAAGGTCTTTAAAAATTATGAGAACCATCTCTTTTTAAGAAGAGCAGTTACCAACACAGCAAAAGATACAGCTATGCAAGGGATCAACATTCCTTTTCCTTAATTATATAATCCCATGTAGAACTATGGTTAGAGAGGACTTTTGGAGATAAGCTGGTGATCAAATATCTATTAAAAAGTATTAAATTAAAATTAGGCCAGAATATTCTAGTATACTACATTGGGGAAAAGAATTTTAATATTTAAGAAAAAATCAGCATTTTTAAAGCTTCTTAAAATATGTAATAGTCAATAAGTCAGTAAGTTTATTGGGGGCATGAATGAATTTTCCCAATTACTCGTAATTTTCATCACAAATGTACATTTGCAAGCATTTGGTAAGAAGGGAGAGTGACATCAACCTATGGATTATATTACCAAAAAATTAGCTTTCTTCAGAGAAATGAAATTCTCTGAGTTGAAAGTAATCAAGAACATAATTAAGTACTCGGAAGACTTAAGAAATATAGGCCTATGTTCTGAGATGGTAGATTGAATTATACATAGACATGCAGGCATAGGACAAGAAATATCAGAGGCAACTGAATTTTAAACCAACATATTACAAAAGCTGTATTTTGACATCTGTTTTAACTTTAACCTTATTGCATTAAATAAGAACAATCAATTTAGAAACTCCTTTTGAAGTTGCTTTTAGAGTATGAATCATATTTTTCACAATTATTTTAGAATCAAGTTGCTGGATTTTTGCTCTTTGAAAATGAATTTGATTTTTAAAAATAGTCTGATTATATTTGGTGTTAAGTATTGACAATAAGGGTTATTAGAGAATAAATATGTTATTAGCATTGTGGGTCAAACAAG